GTATTGGAATGCGTGAAATCAAAGTAAAAAACTATTTTCTCTACCAACTGTCCAGCTGGCATCTAAAAGGAACTTGACAGAGCAAACAAACGATCATTAGTACCATCAAGACTTAAACTCACCTTGAGTTAAGGCATGTAAAGAAGCCTATAAACACCAATTTTTTAATCTTATATTCAACCCAATTGAGCAAACAAACAGTTCGGCAATGTCCATATTCAAGGCTATATCCACCATGATGTCAAAGTTACAAAATTTTTGTTCAAAACCAATCACAAAATCTAATCTTTTATTCAACACAATTACAAAATCTAATCTTGTATTCAACTCAATTAAGCAAATACAGTAATAAAAAGTTAGACAATGCCTAATTCAAGGCTATATCCACCACAATGTCAAAAACTCAAAATTGTAATCAGTAAATATCACGAAGCACTTACCTTTGAAGAGTCCAAATTATGAACCATTTTAACCAAAAAAAAAAAGTCCAAATTCAACCCATCCACCCACAATGTCCAAATTTAAGGCTATGGTAGCACCAAACAAGCAATGAACATAAAAAGTAAAACTCAGGAGATTGGAAGTTCGGAGGTGATTGATTCAATGGGGCCAAAAAGAAGAACCCGATTCAATTAATTCAATGAGGTGGAAAAGCAAAACCCGATTTCAACACCAAACAAGCGACGAACGAAACAATAAAACCTAGGTGATTGATGAAGTCCGAAGAAGATTAATCAATGGTGTAACAACAATGGAAATGCGCGCATTTGACAACTTATACTGATTTTGCGGAGGCTGGGAACAACAATCAACTATGGTTAAGGCTTCCAAGCTAACCACGTTTACTGCTGGGTCTAATGCCAATATTCTTTGTTACCGTCAAATTACCAATTTACCATGATACCCTTCATTAACAACTAGAAATGACATTAATAGCCCTAGATAAACATCCCAAGTTTATCTAAGAGATGAACCTGGGCTTCCTCGTAAGTAACTCAATTCAAATTTTGATATATTAACACATTAATTTAGTATGGGCGTGCCTAGGTTCATCTCCGCGAGAAATGAAATTGTTTCTCACATGCACTTTTACATGCTAGCGAAGCAACTTTAGTAATAAAATATAAAGTCAAAAAGAGGGTCAATTTTGTCGTTAAGTCACGCCGTAAGTAGTAAATTAGATGGAGTGTTGACGCCATCGTCTCCAAAATTTCATTTCCAGTCCCCTTCTTCATTATCGAGCTTCATCTTTTACACCTCCAATTGTTGCTTCGGTGAGGATGCCCTGTAGTTATATTTGAAGATTGTTGTAGTTTGTCTTGTGTGTTCTGGTCGTTTTGCTTTGTGGTGTTGGTGATCGTATTATGGCAAGATTTGATTAAGGTATTTTGTTTTCCTCATTGGCTCGTGTTGTTGTTTGTTTCGCCCATTTTCATAAAGCTATAGTTTTCATCTAGCACGAATTTCTATCGTGTATTGTGTAATTGTTGTTAATTTGTTTGACTTATTAAATTAGGGCATGGCTGATTGTATGTTTGTGTTTGTTGTTAATTACACATTAGTGTATTGTCGTGGATAAGTTTCTAATTGTTATGTTGGGAACTCGATTATGTTAATTAAGTTACAAAATGTATTGTTGTTTCGTTGTATTACTCAAATTCTGGTATTGATGTATTTGTGCTTTTGCTATGAATCTGCTACTTTTGTTATTCTCCTATATTTGTCTATGTATTGCGTTGTTATCTATTTGCTATTGATATTACATGGTAGTTCTAGGTGGGTAATGAATGTGAATTTGGAAGCGAATGCTGAAAGAATAATAAGTTCCTTGGGAGGTGGGTGTGATAAGGTGGGTAATTTGATGGAAATTGGTGTAGATTACAGTCAACAGGAAGGTTGTGAAGTTTTGAATATAGAGAAATTAATTTCATTGGGAGGTGGGAGTGATGAGGTGGGTAAGTTAATGGAAATTGGTGTAGATGGTAGTGAATAGGAAGGTTATGAGTTTTGAATACAGAGAACTTTTGTTCATTGGGAGGTGGGTGTGATGAGGTGGGTAAGTTGATGGACATTGGTGTAGATGGTAGTGAACTGGAAGCTAAGGGTATCAAGTTTTCAATACAAAGTCCTTGGAAAATATCACACTTACACAAACCATTCAAAATAATTCACCCTTCTTTTCTAAAAATGGTAAATCTAATAGACCATTATTGCAGCACTGCTCCCCGATTTAGAAAATACAAACCACTGAGACTATTATGTCAACAAATAGGGTCAATGTGATTACCACTGTTGAACCTCCAAAAGTTGGTATGGTTTTTAAAGGATGGGAGGACATAGAGCTATATTACCAAATGTATGGACAGTGGATTAAGGGTTAGCAGGTTGCAAGGTGCCTATACCAGTACAAAAGAGAGAAGGGGGATCATATGGAGGTGTGAATGTTGGGGTCTGCTAGATATGAGGGCGAAGCGGGAGGCAAAGAAAAGGGCCAAGTTAATGGATGTTGGTGGCTGTGCAGGAAATGTGAATGGTGTCGTTGGTGAGGATGAGCTTGCACGTGGTAAAAGGAAATCCAAAAAATGTTTCCGCAAAGCTAGGATTTATGTGAGTGTTATAAGTGATGGCCTACGGGTTTCGAAAACCATAGAATTAGAATATACTCATACTTTTTCACCAAGCATGGCTAATTTGGTGAAAGAGTATCGTATGAAGATGACCTGAACTGTTCGAAAGAGGTTACTTAATTATTATTAGGAGGGTAATCCCGTGTCGCAAATTTGTGGTTGTCATCTAGGCACAGAGAATGATAATTTGCTGAATGTGATGGATATGCAGCACGATATTTACAAGCAAAGGCACGTAAAGATGGTTGGGGGAGATGCACAAGCAATGATGGATTACTTTGACTATATGCAAGTCGATAATCAAAAGTTTTACCATGCCCATAGGTTGGATGAGGAAGGTCGTATAACAAATGTGTTGTGAGTCGATGCGAGAAGTCGGGTTGCGTATGAGGAATTTGGAGACATGGTGTATTTTGATGCCACATATCTCACAAATGATTACGAGCTACCGTTTGCTAATTTTGTGTGTGTGTGGGGGGGGGGTGAATCACCATGGCTAGTCCATTTTATTTGGTTGTGCTCTCGTTTCCCATGAAGACTGTAAAACTTTTTCATTGGATATTTCCGACAATGGTTATCTTGCATGGGCAACAAAGTTCCCATTGCTATTCTCACTGACTAAGCAATTGCAATGAGGAAGCCTTTAATTGAAATTACGCCTAAAACACGCCACCGATGGTGCATATGGCATATCCTAAGGAAATTTCTTGACAGACTTGGAAAATGTGCTATGTAAGTAGTCTCCTATACCTTTCATTTTCTATTATTTAACCATACCATTAACACTTCCCCGCTCAAGACTTTTCTCATTATACTACATTCTTAGCTTGTTGAAAAACAATATCCCAAAATTTCAACTACACAATCTTACACATTTCACGTTATCAATGAAACTTGAACTACATTTTATAACAATAATGACACTCACTATCTTTTCCAATACACAACCTTCATCCAACAAAGAAATTACCCTTGTTACCCTATTAGCTGCAAACTAAACTGCATATGGACAATTTTCAAACACATAAGCAACATACATATGGTCCATTTGATTTACAAGACCAAGTTCGAGTAGAAATCCAATTACAAAATAAACTTCAACAACAAACAAACATAATCTCACACATTAATAGTATATTTCAATATGGCAAAGGAACAATGAATTGATTCAATGCAGTAACACCACCATTAATTAAATTTTATAGCATAGCTAAACTCGATCATTTCAACCAATTACAACATAAATCAACAAGACTCATAAATCAAATAAGTTCGATTACATTATATATCAACCTAAATTGAGAATCAAACAATTTTACTAAGGGTATCATTCAAGCTAGATTTGAATTAGGAAGTCCTTTTCGAGCTAGAATTTTAAACCGATGCAATATATTAGGCAAAGAAAAATGATTATTGATCAAGGCAACTCTCCTCACCCGGAACTCAGTCGAGACCGCCTGATTCAACCTAACAATCAAACAAGTCAAATAGAAAATTTGCAATAGTGTTTAGAATATCTTTACGAGAAGTGATTGAATCGTGACGATTGAAGTCATATAGCTCCACTGACAGCTGCCTCGCAATCCCTCCACAAGTCAGGTAGTTGGCAAACCTCTGTCGATCAAATAGCTCCCACACAGCCTAGCCCACCACACGTCAAGTACCAGACAAACCTCTACAGTGTAAACCCCTCGTACACCGTCACCAAACTTCTACAAACCATGCAATCACCGAGAAATCACCAAAGACACTCAAGAACAAACAACTTACTTCCTATGACTTTCACCACCATTGATTTTTGGGTGTTTTCTCTCACTCCCAGGATTCGTTTATGGAACGTTTGTGAGACTGTTAGTCAAACATATAACAGATGTTAGCTAATGTGTTAAAATGACAAATATGACCCATGATAAAAAAAAAAAAATTGGAGAAAAACCGTGATAAACTAATTTCATTTCTCACGGAGATGAATATGAGTTCGCCCATTTAATATGACTCATTCTTAAAAAAAAAACGACTTAGGCCCTGTTCTTTTCACCTTAAAAAAATAATATTAAATAAAAATAATTTCATTTCAGTAAAAATAATTTCAGTTCAGTAAAAATAGTTTCAGTTCAGTAAAATTCAGTTTTCTTAAAGAAGAACTATAATAGAAAATCAGTAAAAATAATTTCAGTTCAGTAAAATTAATTTAATTTCAGTAAAAATAATTTCAGTTTAGTAAAATTAAGTTTAGTTCAGTAAAAATAAGTTCAGTTCAATAAAAATAATTTCATTTCAGCAAAATTAAACTGAATCAAACAGGGCTTAATCGAGCCCAACCTATTCACCCGAATTTAGAGCTCTACCTCCCTCGACCATCTACTTGTATATTGTCGTGCCTCGTGCATCTGGGTGCACCGTCCGACTTTTTAATCTTCCCTACTCTCCTGTTACCACGCCAAAAAGGACGGTGTAGAAGCAAAGCAGATTAAAGGATGTATCATCCCACCAGAGGAGGCGTTCGCGGTGGCCGAGATCGTAAGTTCATAATCTCTTTATCCCTTATTCTCGTTTAATTAATGGCGATTTTTGTTCATTTCATATTTTACAATATTTGAAATCGTGAATTTTGTTATTGTCCTGGTTCTTGTTATCATTTAGTGAGTAGGTTCGATTAGCTTATTTCTTGAGGAATTTCAGTCGTCTTTGATTTTGTATAGTAATCCTCTTTTATAGGTTTCAATTTACAGTGGCTTTGTGAGATTTTTTATTGTTGGTGTTTTTGTTGTTCAATATTATGTTTTTGACCTTTTTTTCAACTTTAGAATTATTGGGTTATTTCGGTTCAATTGATTGAAATTATACGATTAAGTATTTAATATTTGTAGAATCTGTACTTCATTTTTGTAACTGTTTGAAATATTTTTCCGTAGGGTGGTACAAAATTTGAGTGGATTATTTTTCCTTTTGAATTAGGAATGAAAAAAAATTGATATTTTGATCGCAACTGAGTTCTCGGTGAGATTATAGGACAAATTTGGGAATTACTGGTATCTTTGGGTTTCAAGACGATATCGGATTTAAGAATTTTGAATTGGATTTTAAATGTGTCTTTCTGAGAAATGAGGTGCTAATAAAATTTAGGTTTTTGGTGATTATTTAAGCTGGGGATTATGAAATTGGCGATAGTTTCCATTTGTTGGAGAGGAATGTTAGGGTTTTTCAGAGTTACGTTGGTGGATGGTTCCCGTGTATGGATAGAGTAGTTTTTCTGTCACTCCCCGGTTTTATATCTTAGTGTTTGTCTCTCTTTCTAATTTAAGTTTTCGTTGCCACTTGCTTGCAATACGTCATCAGTTTTTATTTGACAGTAATTTTGATGTATATGTGTATCTCAATTCCTATTCAATCTACTGAAGTCAGTATTACTTCTTAAAAGACTTTTAATCAGAGATATGGAGGTAAGACCAAGATTCATTTTACAGTGGGGACTGAATAGCTTCATTGATTGGTGTTGATAGTAGGTCTGATGACAATATGGAATAATATAGGTTTGGATGAGGTATGAGTCTAACGTCTGCCGTTGAGAGAGATCCTCCGATGCATGGGGTGTACGTTAGTGCAGTGAGACTCTTCAAAAAAATTGGTTTGTTGTCATCAATTACTTTCTTCTTCACACCCGGGATTTTAGCAAAGTTCCATAGTCAAAACATAAGAGGAAGAAATTGTGTAGTGTCAATTGTGTCAAAATCAGAGAATTTATTTTGCTTTTCGATGTGCCATCGAATGTTAAATCCTTAGGGGTGGTTTGGTGTGGGGTATTATCATAGGAAAGAGAATTAGCTAGACTAATCCCCTTTGTTGTTGTTTGTAATGCCATTTTAATCATTTCATTTACATTTTAATCATTTCATTTACCATCTGCATTACCCCAAAATGGTATTTCCATCCCCTTTTATGAACCACCCATACACCACTGCTCAACCACCACCGCCTAATCACAGTCACGTCGCCCAACTAGCATGGCCACCCTCACCACGTCACCACTGCAATCCCACCAGCAATGCTGCCCTTTCATACCATCTAAAGGCACCCAAATCTTACCCTAACCATCCCCAAGATCAGCTCCCACCCACCCAAAATAAACCCTTACTGAACTTGAAATACCTGAATTATCTTTATTTTGAAGAAAATACCTCAACTAATTGATAGCTTTAGTGTGCTATCAATTAATATAGGAAATATTGATAACTTTGCTATATTATGCCGCTCTGATGAAGTATAAAGTTTATTTGTATGATGGTTTTTGATTATTTTTCTCTCTAATTAAAACATGTAAACTCTCAATGTCGATTTAATATTTACATATTATATTTGTATTTATACTACTTCCCCAATCTTTGAAATTTATTATTGTGGTTGTAATCAAGGCAACCGTGTTACAAATTGTCATTGGCTGGTTTGGAGTATTGTTGTCCCTATATTATTTCCCCTAAATATTGCCAACACATAAATCTATAGTGCTTAAAATTTCTGTTTTATGTGGCCAATAATTGGCAATTAGATAACAGTTATTCAAAAAATGCTTATGATTGGAAATGGGAATAACAAGGGTGGCTGAAATTTGTAAACTGTGAGGCTAATAGTTAGAACAGTTTTTGATGTGGGACCCCTATTGTGCCGATCATTTTTTCTGTCAATATTATTATATGTAGACATTTTGATAAGATCCTTTAAAGATAACAGGAAACTTTAGAAAGCAATTTTTTTTCCAGATGGTCATGTACAGTAAGATGGTTTGAATTGGCTCGCAAGATATTCTATGTTTTAATGGTATCACCATCTCTGTAAATGATCACTATGAAAGTGGGACTTTCAATAGGGGGCTCAAGATTGGACTTTGGAACTGAGTTAGTTATAATAGTCTTGACTCTAGCTTTGGTATGTTGCCTAATGTAGACTTTCTTTAGTTGTGACTTCACGATAGAAATTTGCCTCAACGATAAATGTCCTGAACTGTCTAATGGCTGCAGAGACTCTCTCTCTTTTTCTTCCGTTTGGTTTCATTTTGGAAGTGATAAACATATGATTTTATGCATTCTATTTTTTGAAATTATGAATTGGTTTCATGAGTATTGTGTTTATTTTATTGTTTCACTTGTTTTCAACACTATATGGTATTTTTTATCTAATGAAAATTTATGGCCGTTGTTCTTTTTCAGAATTCAAGTGGGATGATGTGAAGGTTGATAAACACAGAGAAAATTACCTTGGTCACAGTCTTAAGGCTCCTGTTGGGAGATGGCAAAAAGGTTTTTTTTTTTTCACTTGATTATGTAGGTTAAGGCTGTTAAGCACCCTCACTTAGTGGGTGCAGAATATGTTCTTTCGTTTTATTTATTTATATTATTATTATTATTATTATTATTATTATTATTATTATATATATATATATATATATATAAAATTCTTATATAGTGGATTTGGTGCTTGCATTTTTTCAATCCTCAGTTTAAACTTTTTTGAACTATCTTTATTGTGTTGTCTTCATATTTTAGGATAACCCTATATTTCTTTGTTACTCTTTCAGCCTGCAAGCTCAGGCCTGTTTATTTAGTGATTTTATGTCAATTGCTATAACTTTGGTTAACTATGCTGATGCCTTACAAAACTTAACTTTACTTGCAATGTTCCAACTAACCCTTTTTTATTAAATTCTTCTCTTACAACACTCTACTAAACCTATACATAATGAAGCAAAGGGAGTAATAAAACATTGTTTCTCAGATCAAGACTTGAATTAAAAAAAATAATAGTTTTTAAAAATCTATGTATTATGTGTTCTTGCGCTGCTCTGAGATTTTTCAATTGTAATGTTTGTAACTTATAACTTGATCAGGCAAAGATTTGTTTTGGTACACCAAGGACAAGAATTCTCAGGGTCTTGAACAGGATGCCTTAAAGGCAGAGATTCAGAGGATCAAAGAAGAAGAGGAGCAGTCAATGAGAGAAGCTCTAGGCTTAGCTCCAAAGCGTTCTGACCGACCAAAAGGAAATCGTCTTGATAAACATGAGTTTTCTGAACTTGTCAAGCGTGGATCAACTGCTGAAGATTTGGAAGGTGGTCATGCTGAAGCAGCAAAGGTTCAAGGACTTGGTTTTGCCAGGTATGAGTTAGGCATTTCAAATTTATTTTGACTAATTTTCTACAATCTTTTGTATGATATTGTATCTGCCTTAATACAGTCATGAAGCATTTAGAGTTTGCTTTTGATAAGTTCTACTCGTATTATTGGATATCATTGGAAAGTTTTGACATATTGGTTGTAAACTTGTAACTAAATATTCTCTTAACTTGAATCTTTTGTGTGAGAAGGACGGAACAAAATGGGTAATTCCATGTTTCTCTTCTTGAAAAACATGGAATGTACCTCATAGGGTTAAATTTGTCTTTTTAACTAATAAAACAGGGATAAAATTGTAATTTTCTTTTTTTCTTTTCCATTTGCACAAATTACTACACTTCTAGCTGTACTATTGAAGCAGCTTCTCTCCTCCATTCAAGCACCTTTTCTCTCCACCATTGAAGCAGCTTTTGAGGTTAAATAAAAAAACGAAAAACACCTACCATCTAGGGTTAACAATGCCCTTTATTTGTCCAATTTTCCTTAGGGTTTTTGTAGAATTCGGCGACAAAGCCGCCGGAAAGGGCTGTTGAGATGGTGGGTTGGGATTGGTCTTTGTCGTGGTGTTGGGTTGTTGTCTAATCATGGTAAAGATTCCACCATTGTCTCGTTGAGAAGCCATGAGAAGCTAGAAGAAGGAAGTAGGAGAAAGAAGGGAAGGAGGCAGAGGGGTGAGTCAGTATCCAAAAAATAAATAAAATATTGATGAAGTTGCTTTTATTTACTATTCTTGCCATTTGAAATGTTTCTCAAGAAGAGAAACTGGGCTCAGCCGAACAAAATATTTTAAAAATTACATTTTCCCTTGTTTGGTTGTGTGTGTGTGATTTTGGGTGGTGGTAATTTTAACTCATTACAATTATTTTCTCAGCTTTTATTACAATAAGAAATACTTAAAAAGTGTTTAACTTGTAAAATCAACTTTTCGGCAAGTGGGTCCCACATCATTGTCTTAATTTTTTTTTTTTCAGTGAATGCAACACATCCAAAGTTGGTGTCACTGAGTGTAATTTTGCTGGAAAATAAATACTCCTTCCATACCACAACAGTTATCATTGCACAGAGTTTTATCTGATAAGTTATTGAGTTATCAGTTGCTGTTTTAAATTTTAATAGTTAAGTTATTGGAGTTAGTGGGGGTATTTATAAGGTTATTTTTATGAAAAGGTAGATGTGAAAAAAGATAGTGGCCCAAAATAAAGGTAAGAAATAGCTGTTAGACAGTAGAAAATTATCTAACAAGGAAGTTTTTAGACTATTGAGGTACAGCTGAAAATGGAAAGTGTTCAAAATAATCTGGTCTGGGATGGAGGGACTAGGGAGTACAAAGAAAGGAAAACAGAAATTAGTGGTTGTATAGCATGCTTCTCTGATGGCATGATTGCATGAAGACATTTACTAGGGCCATTCAAAGTTTCAAACTTTGCAGTCTCTTCGTTACTTGTTCTGCTGTAAGTCGACAAGGGTATTTGACAATATCCTTGTGAAGCAGCATTTTAGTCAATTGATTTCTACTTTTCTAGTGCATCTGCAGTTTTTAAGCCTAGAACTTTGCTTTACCAAGGTGCAGTTTGCTGACTATAAAATCTACATTTAGTTGTTGGGTTATAGTCAATTGATTTCCTGTGCATCTGCATCTTCAAACTCATTATGGGATTATGAGGAAAACAAAGAGTTGTCGCATGGTTGAAGGATGCCGAGTTATATTGACATCAGGTTGTTATAGAGCAGGCCCAGGTTAATATCAGTGATAAACATGGGCCGTTTATCACAGGGCGTAATGGTCTTTTTGCGTCTTTAGTCAAGGGTGCCAAGGTCATTTGCTTCTCACGGGGAATATTGTCCTTTCAAACGTCGTCAGCCTCATTTGTTAACCATAGTTAAGTAGTTTTCACTGTTGCAACTTGCAACCAACATCCGCGAATTCCTAGGTCGACTATCTTCTTCACCCTCTTTCACTTTTCCGGCGGCAAAACGAAATACCCTAAGAAAATTAGAGAAATTAGGGCATGGTTAACCCTTAAGGGAAACGCTTGTCTTCCTTCTCCATTGAAGTTGTTGTGCTTTTCAATTTCTGGATTAAAGGTTTTTAATTTTGTGTTTTCTATTCGGCAAGCCTGAAAAGGTAAGGTAAGCGTTTTAATTCTTGATTGTTCGAGCTGTGGTTGTTATTTGGGGTTGGGGAAAATTTTATCATCATTGATTTTCACTGTTATTTGAGTAATCTGTGATGGAATTTGAAATTTTAATGCAGTTTTTTTTGTAAAATTTGATAGCAATTGGGGAAGACGAAGACTGTTTCCAAAGGCTGCATGGATAAAATGAGTTAGCAATTAACTAAATTCCTTGAAATTGGAGTCAATGTGAGCAATTAGTCGTTAATGTTGTTAGTTTGGGATGAAATATTAATGCAATTGGGGAAGACGTCTCAATCCTCTCTATATATTTTTTTTTCCTTTTTTTATACTGTTCAATTTAACTCCACTTGAATTTTTTTTTTATTTTTTGTTTATTTTTGTATTGATTAGTAACTCACACCTTGAGTTAACCTGCGTGGAGTAGCAGTTAACGCTGAAATTTTCCGTCTTATACCTTTTCACGTAAGGGGGACCACATTAGTTGAAAAGGGGGTAAAAAATAGTTATTTATTGTCTTTTTGCGGAACCCAAGACAGGTTTATTACACTTTTGCCATGTGATAAACAATCCAAGTTTATCACCGATATTAACTTGGATTTCCTCGTTACATTGTGTGAATTTTGTTGGAAGATATTGTAGTCTCTTCTAAGTTTTGAACTCATGATTTCCCCAGAGCACTGCTGTAACTTTACACTTGTTTCTTGGTGCACACATATTTAACCAACACTGTGAATTTCTATTTGAAGTTTCACATTTGAATTTTATCGTCTTCACATTTATTTTGTTCTTGGCAATCTAGCTATGAATCATTTCAGTTTGAAGTTTCACCTTTGAGTATTTGAGTTATACCATCTTAACAATTATTCTGACCTTGTAAATACAGAGCTCCTTGTATCATGGAGGCATCAACTACTGTTTTGCCTGGTGCCAAGGATGCTGTTGCTGAGATGGATAAGGCTCTTCCTGAGGCTTCTGAGAAATTGGATAAACAGGAGTCAGATGAGGAAGGTAGACGGAAGAAGAGAAAGCATGATGAGCGGAAACGTGAGAAGCACGAAGAAAGAAAGCACAGGAGGCGTGAAAAGCATGAAAAACATCATTCTCATGACTCAAATGACAAGAGGAAACGTCGCAAGGAGGAGAAGAAGAAGAGAAGGAATGATTCAGATTCAGAATGATTTCATTACCTCCTTTGTAAAACAAACACCCCTCACATTGTAATTTTCACGGACCAATTTAACTTCTTTGATTTATACTACCCTTGTGTATGGTATGGTGACATGGTGTTGGCTACCTCGTAAATGTAAGTTCTTTGCTAGTTCGATCCTCAAAATCTTCTTCATAATAGTACATTTGGCTCAAGTCATCACTAACTTGAATCCTTTGAATAATTTATGTCAAGTGCAACAGGCTAGTTATACTCTGTAGAGCAAAATAGTTGAGATTATGGTGGTGGAAACGGAGATGGAGACGCTTAACTATATGTAAATCTACACAAATAGAGATGCTTTTAATGTGAGTCATGTTATAGGAGAGAAGATTCATGGAAATTTTATCAATAGAAATATCTGGAAACCATTTTGTGCATGTTGAGATGAGGGGGCAATTTGGGTTATTCGGATTAGTTATTAGGTTTATTGACTGATTTGGGTGGCAATGATTGGGATATTTAAGCTTTGAATCTGTGTTATCTTGTGCCAAAATAGCCAAGAGTGTCTAATTAATGGATTAAGATTTAAGATCATGTTCACTTCATCTAATTTTTGTTAAACTGAAATTATTTTTACTAAACTGAAATTATTTTTGCTGAAATTATTTTCTTTTATGGTGTAAAAGTTATAGAAATAATTTTAGTTTAATAAAATAATATTATTTCAACAAAATTAAGATGAAGTGAATCGAAACTTATCGATAGACTTAAATCGAATTCCAGCTAAGTTACAAAATTAATCCTAACTCGTATTTCGTACAAATTGTGTTTGGGTACTACAATAACTCTCATTTTGGGACCATTATTGTTCTAAATGCTCATCTTGGCCATCTATAACTATTATTAAAGTTAAAACCGCTGACATGTCATTTTCTAATTAAAATATTTCCCTCCAAAATTGATTATGACATCATTTTTTTTTTCAATCATTTTTTTCATTTTTTTTTGTATCTTTCCCACAAATAAATTCAAATATGAGGAAGATTATTTTTTAAAAAATAAATAAAGCTATGAGTATCAATTACTAAAAATGCATTAATGAAATCTTTCTTTCTAAAAATACTCTTTCATATGATTTGTTGCAAAATTATTATTAATTAATAATATTATTAAAAAAAATGTCTTTAAATTTCTTAAATCGTGCATCGCACAAGTACTAATCTAGTGCTTTAACATAAGAAACTCCATTGAGTACTGGATTAATTTCGCCAAAGTCACCAACTCCAATGGTTGTAGCCAGGGACTTGCTTGCAATATTAAATAATTCCTAACCATTAGCTTGGCTGTTGGAGCTAAAAAATACAATTAGTTTGGTTAAGCAAATTACCTTTGACTGCTTGAAGAATAACTTACCAAAAAAAATAAAATAAAAAATAGAATCAATATAATGAAATATAAAAAGTTGATGAAGGAGGTTAAATTCATTTAAATTGGAAGCTAATAGCTAGCCATTGAAGTTCAAAGTAGCTATAATGACAATTAGCTTAAAAGCTTATGCGGCATGCCAAGCTGATTGTCAAATTAGCTTGTTGTTGGAGTTATTTTAGACTTTAACTTATTTAATTTGACATTAATTTATTTTAAAAATAATCAAAATTAGCTTGTTGTTGGAGTTATTTTATGCTTTAACTTATTTAATTTGACATTAACTTATTTTAAAAATAATCAAACAAGATCCGACTACACCATTCAAATTAGATTGCTCTTATTTATCATTGAATATCTTCATTTTCATAATTTTCATATTTGAAAAGTGCATACTAATACCAACCTAATTACATATCATTTGGTAATTTTGTATGTTCAAATTAGTGTATAGACTAGGGGCCTGTTCACTTTAGCTTAATTTCAATTCTGTTCAGTTTAGTTCAGCTCCAATCAATTTAGTTCGGTTCAGTTTCTAATTTTCTTCTCTCATAAAATATTCATTTCAACTCTATTCAGTTTAGTCCGCCTCCAATCAGTTCAATTCAACTCGATTCAATACTTGTGAACAGACCCTAAGTTAATATCTAACTAGATTTAAAAAAAATACAATAATTTGAATCAAATCACATGAATAGAAGTATAGAACATAGCCATAGCACAAAGGAAAGAGAGAAAGCTTCTAACAAAAGCTAATTCTTTTTTTTTTTTTTTTTTTGTTTTTTGTTGTTTTTGGAAATTAAAGGTTATTCTTTTTTTCATATTGCTTGCTTCTCCTTCCTCCATTATTATTCCTCAAAAAAATACAAAAAAAAAAAAAAAAAAACATTATTTATTTGAAATACTAAAAAAAACAAAAGGCGAGAAAGGGGAAAACGCCTCTTTCTTCCTCCAACCACCATTGTTTGAGGCAGCTCAACCTCTCTCTTCAAAACCTAACTTCATCAATTTCCAAGAGCTGCTTCAATTTATTTTAATTTTAACATCCATTTTCAAATTTTTTTAATTGAATTGAATCACCCAAAAAAAAAAATAAAAAAATGGTGTCGGCAAACAAGGAAATGGCTGTGTACTGTTTTGACACACTTGTTGCTCACTACAATAGCGACCAAATTCCCCCTCCTGCTTTCGACGAGGGTGATCAGTATGCCCCTTTCTCTCTTTCTTTTCACTAATCATTATTTTCTGTATTAATTATTAATTAATTGATCATAATAAATTAATTTATATTAAAAACAATATTAATAATGATATTTGTTATTTATATATTATGCATTATTTACATGAATTGTTGATATAGTTTTTGCATGTCTTTCTTGTTTAGTGGTTTTTTTTTTTAATTATGATTTGTATTTATTGAATTTTGATTGGAATATACTATAGTTAGTAATTTGGCTAAGGGAAATAATACCCAAGTGGAATGGTGTGAGTTGGGATTGTTGGAATTTTGTTTTTAATAGTTTTTACAAATGAGTATTGTACAAGTAAATTGAGTGGAGCATTACTTATTGTAGGGGTGTTGGTGCAAAAATGCAAATAAGTCCATGATTCCCTTGCATAAGGCAAGAATACATTAGGGGTATGCCCTTAAAAACTACCGACCTTTGAGTTAGAGGCCTTGCTTGTGTACGAGCAATGTATGATTACCAAAAACAATAAGAACTTTGTTGATAAAAAGCAAATGACTAATTGACATTAGAGCACAAAGTACAAGTAGGAAACTTTTTAGAGGAACAAAGACTGACTATTGAATTAGACCGAAGGAGGGAAATTTACCTCCATGATTAATCCCAATCGAAAGTTACTAACTGCTTTCGCTAAACTAATGCTAGGCTACTAAGCCTAGAATGCCAAGACCTAAGAAAGCAAAAGAAAATTGTTAAAGTAATTGATATGATTCTCAATTCTGCTCCTTCATTGTGCTTTTATAGAGATATCTGGCAACGGTTATCTGACCGTGGTTTGGTAGTTCCCCTTGTGATATGTATTTCCTCCTTTGGCACCTCTATCCTCTTTTGAATTTATCTCCTCCTTTTCAAATTCATTGAACTTGCTGTCTTGGGCCTCTTTGACTTCTATCTTTATGTAAATGGGTTATTGGGCTTCTTATTTTAGTCTATTCTCTTCATCTACTATCTCTCTAAATTTAGGTCAGGTAAATAAAAATTAAGATTGAGTCTAACAAGGGGTTAAGTATGTGTTAGTAGATTACGCTTGTATAGTAGAAACTATAATTCATGTTCCCATATGCTTGATTTCACCTTGTCCAATAGATTGGTGGTGCTCTCTGTTCTCCATTATTAGTTGGTTATTTGATGGTCATGTCATATTATATATGAAATATTATTACTAATTACGTAGTTGATTTTACATGCAATAACTAGCAAGTCTATAACGATACACTTTGCATGCCTAAATACATTTTCTAGGCCGAAAAAAAAAAAAATAATAATAGGTCACTTTATCCCTTGTATTACCTATAAAGAAGAAATTGTTTTATTTGACCTATCTTATCTGCACTTGTTTTAGTTGATTGTTATTTGCTCAAAATAAACTTATCTGTGGAAGAATTATATCGTTTTATTTTATTTTATTTATTTATTTTATTTTTATTGAATGCTTAAACTTATTTTGTCCAAAATAATTAAATGCCCTATAGCTGTGCTATATTGGTGTGGTAGAAATGCAACAATTTAATTTGTGACAATTTGTTATGGTAATTTAACTCAACAATTTTACAAACACCCCTAATCAAATGTGGCCTATATGCTTATTATATTATATAATGGAGGAAGTACTTATCAAGTACTAGTGGGAATAGCATGTCAATGAGTTTTGAACTAAATGATCGTGGTTCTCTATGCAGCCCTTTGTTTGTAACTTGGAAAAAGGTGGTAAATGGAGGTGAGCCTCGCCTTCGTGGCTGCATAGGAACTCTTGAAGCCCGTGCCATAATCAACGGTTTTAGAGACTATGCTCTTACTAGGTATTGTATGGAATTTATGTGCCTTTGATGAATTTCATTATTTCAACATGATATTGCTAAAAACCTTAGGCACCTTGATTCCTTTTGCTTTTTTATGCTTGTATTTTTTTTTAAATTTTTTTTCTTTTTTTTAAATCTTTCTTTAAATTGAGGTGCTTATAACAGAAAGTAATAAATTATTCTTGTGTATTGCCTGCTTTTGTTTCATTCTACACTCTTTTTTCTTTTGGCTAGAATTGTTTTAGTAATAGTCTAAGCAAAACATTTGAATTTCTTGGGTCAGAAGTAAGATTTATTTTTCTTTCTTTTCAAAGTCTAACATGTTGTATTTGCTATGCTTATGCACTTCTTTTATTTTTGGGATGTATATATACTCCATAGAGTTTTATGAAATCTCTGTAAACATCTTGTTGTTTTGTGAAAAAAAAACCCTAGTGGTTCTAAACTAAATTTTTTTTGTGATTTGTAAAAAAAAAATTATATGCGTGTTATAAATTATGTATGTATAGTTGTTTTAATTATGAATAACTACATTTGATTAAGAATATTGCTTTTTGACTTTGAAATGGTGTTACAGAATTGTACTCGAATTTATCTGTAAATATCTCTAATTATCACATCAATAAGTAAAAAAAAAAGTTGATATTTTAAAAGTACACATTATGAATCTAACAAGACCCCACATTACTATGTTTTTTCTTATCTATAAACCACAAAAGCTAGTCAAAGTAGAGTTTGTGAATAGTATCAAAAGTCAAAACGTGTCATCTAATTTGGAATGGAGGAAGTATATCATTACGTACTAGTGCATTAT